TTGGACTAGACTGTAATACAAACCGTTCAGTTTGTCAACAATAAAACTGAAATGAGAGAAAGACTGAGTGTGAGACTTTGATATTAGATAAAATGAATATTGATAAAGTTTACCTTTATGTGCAGAATCTGAATATCGCAAAATATTTTTAAAAATTGCAATAATATCGTATCGTGCGTTAAGTATTGTGATAATATCGTATCGTGCGTTAAGTATTGTGATAATATCGTATCGTGGGATGTATGGTGATTCCCACCTCTACTCAGCACCCAAGCATATGTACTCATAGTGAAAGCACACAGATGCACACGCATAGACTCACACGCTCGTATGCTCATTACCTCCACAAGCTGATGCCAGTGCTCTATTGGTTTGCGAGGATTGGCCAGCATGGCAGCCCAGTGCTCCCTCCCTGGACCTTCAGCTTCGCTGCCTACACGACACATCCCTATAACCTCGTTATGACCGATGCTGATACGCAGCGAGGGCAGGAGGAGTGGAAGCGAGGATGGGAGAGACAGAGAGAGAGAAAAACAAGCAGTTAGAAAAGGAAACAGTTGAAGAGAGGGATTAGAAAAGCAGAAGGAGGGAGACAGGGCTTGTAAGAAGCAGCCGCAGAGTCTCATTTATCAACCTTGAGCATTGGGAAAAGAATACAGCGGTTGGGGAAGGAAATTGAATAGCAGCTCACAAATACACACAGCTCTGTATAAAACCTCTGTCAGCGAGGAAGCAGGCATGAGCACAAACATACAAAAGCGCACACCTATAGAGATGCCAAATGGAGGGCAGGCTACATAATAGGGAGGCGGTGCATTTGTACACAAACACATCAAGCAGCCAAGTGTTGCTGCAAGCGTCAGACAGCCCGACGCTGGCAGGGCTACACTTCCTTCTTCGCCATTAGCATAAATCATTCTTATTCATGAGGTGCCCGTCTATGTAAAACAGGGAACATCCACAAGGAGGCTGACTCACAAGGGGCCCCTCACCGTGTTCAACACAGCTGCAGCGCGTCAAAATGTGATGACCCAAAAGCAGCCTCATGCGCAAAAAGCGCACATTCAATAAGCAGCTACTTCACGGCAACGCTTGAATTGATCTGAAATCCCCTGGAGCATGCTTCACTATAATAACACCTCAGCGTGCTCACCAGTCATAGTCCATCACCGCGATGATGATGGATACATTTTCTATATTTTCATTGGGAATGTCAAACACCAGCGCCTCGTTGTACGTGGGATTCAGCGTGTTCTTCTTGATGGAGGTCTTCCTCTTTTTTAGCCTCCGCCCGTCACATACCAGAGAGGCCTTCACGTACGGATCTGAAGCAGAGAACGGGGAGGGGTGGTGAGAACAAGGAAGATGGGAAGGGAAAGAAAGCAGGTGGTGGGAAAAGGAAGAGGGGGAGGCGTGGAGAGGAGCAGAAGAAGAAAGAGGTGGAGAGAGCCAGAGAGAAGCAGGGGGCGGAAGCAGAGAGAATAAGATAAGAGGGGACTCCTGTGAATGCTGTTAGGTATTATGTTCACAGGTATCCGCATCTGTAACGCATAAAAGCCATGAAAATCAAGTCACCTTGGTAAAGCTGGATTAAGAACACAAAGGGAGAAAAGCAGCACAGGTTGAATCACCTCAGTTATCCATTCAACATGTGCAGCTCGGTGACAGCAGGAAAACACACACCCCCACACGACTGTTTTTATGCCACGTTTAAGCATCTTTCCGGGCCCGCAATCATGTCGGGATCAGCGAGGAACAATAGCAGCGTGCGATCATTAACATTTCAGATCCCATTTAATCTGAGAGGGCAATCGTCAAGCCTTTAAGTGAAGGATAACTAAAATCTCTTTTTAATATAATTGTTAATTAAACATCAGAATTTGGATTCGCATTTCTACGTCTGCAACGCCTCCAGGTCAGATCGTTGAGGTGCCTCTACCTCTTGAAGCTCTGATCACGCAGTTAAATAATAATACAGTCAATCTGGTGATGCTCTATATATTCAGGGAATATTTAGCAAAGATTTGCAGTAATTTGCCTCGTCACGCTACGTCTGCTCCCGTAAGTAATTTATTAGGTTTTGGGGATTCCTTTCTGACAACATTTTTTTATGCACGCTTGTTGGTTTTATTGAAAGTGGAGATAACGGTAACGAAAGAGGAGTCGGCGTCCTCCGTCATGTGTTACAAAGCCGCATTACACCGATCTGTGGCGGCGGCCTCTGCTGGAGAAGACTCTCTTCTTCATTTGTTGCTAAATGGCATGTAAATGACTATTTTATCGAAAAAGGATCCAACACCATGTTTACCAGTGATGTTTACCCACAGGAGAAAAATATCTCTACAGGGCTTCACGCCAGTTATTATGGTATACATCTGGCCAGTGATCAGTCAGATCAGGATATAAAGCTAAAAGCACTCAGGAAAGCAACATATATCACCAGCAGCTGTTTTTGCAGACAGCGCTTAAGCTGTTTTCTGTCATATTTTTCCTCTAAATGAGTTTCCAGTCAGAGTGCTTGCTGGAGGTCTTGCAGCAGCATGATGTGTGTGAATGCGTTAATTCTTTACCTGAGAAACCAGTCAGGTCCATGGCTTTGAGGTTGGTGGCCTTGATGATTGTAGCGGTGAGCCTGCCTGCAGTGGGCAGGTAACACAGCGAGAAATTAAGTTCCCCGAGATCGGCCTTCTCCTGTAGGTCAATATACACGCAAACAGAGATGAGAAATGGGGCGAGGTCAGACAGATCACACGCAGCATCAGAAACACAGAGATAAGAAGTCTGTGGTTTGCTATCTGTGCTTGAAACGAGTTCGATCTGTGACTGACAGCGTGCGACAGCAGGCGTCCCGATGTGGACAGCAGGAGTGTTTGGGCACGGGGGAAATGCTGTCGCTGTAAATGAATCATACACCGATCTGCTGAAGTCACCGACTAGGAAAGAGTTAAATACAAGCAACGACATGTGGGCTTTTTATATCTCTGCCTCTAGTGCTATCTGCTGATCTGCCCGTGCTCTCAGTGGCACCTCGGTAATGACACCGGTGGTATTCAGATCACACGGTGATGCGATGGCTCCTTAGTGGCTTTGAGGCTCACTAATCAATACTTCCCAAAGTGAAACACTGAAATACGCCGATGACGCTGATGCTTTAAACTTACTTAATGAATTAAAGCCCCATGCCAAAAAATGTTTAAGACTCTGCTCCATCTAATTTGCTAATAGCCTTCTATGAATATTTCATATAAATCTACTTGGACATTGCCTAATATAGAGTTTGGAAGTGGCTAGCATTGCCCTTCCAGTAATCTATCTGGACTCTTCTGAGCAGCTTTGTTACTTTACCAGACTGCGAATTAATCTGTGCTGCAGGCCATTTCCGCTCTGTACCATTTCTATACTTCTCCTCCTACATATACAATACAAGCTGGGTTTATTTTAGATGATTCTGACACGTGTTAGTATTTGAGTCTTAATTTCTCCAGCAAAACCTGAGTAATAAAACATTCTTGACTCGGTCCAAAAATTGTCCAGTTTAATTGCAGAAGCCTTAACCCTTTAAGACCTACCATAGAACCAAGTCCGCCAGAGCTTACTTTATATTTTTACATGTTGTAGTGCCATTTTTGGGAGCATTTCAAGTTGCTATACATCAATACAACTGTTATAGCCCATATTTTAATAATATGTATGCATTAAGTCCATAGTAACTACACTAATTGCAAAAAAGTGCAATAAACTACAAAAGAATTGAAATCGTTTTAAAATTTAAAATTTAAGAGGTTTATCCCTCAAAACTTTGAATACAAAAAAGTTGCAAAAAATAGTTTACAACAACAGGAAATTTATTTTGAGTGTCTTCATAGTTTTATTTTTGAGCTACAGCATCTTTTATTCATATTTATCAAATATTTGAAACTTTTAATGACATTAAATTCAAACCACATCAATTCAGAAAATGATTTTCAAAATAAAAGAATTCAGGTATTTAGACATCCACATTTAGTAAGTGGCTGTCTTTAAGAATAAAACTATTGTGGCTTTTCATGCTTTTGTCATTTTGGTAACTGAATGTTATTTTTTTTGTTAACATAATTCTGTACTCTCAGGGAAATGCATTTAACAGTGCAAAGATCTGGGGAGAGATTACATCATACATGACCATCAGAGAAATGTCTGACTGGCCTCAAATTATGTCTGAAGCAGGACAACGAGCCCAAACGAACAGAATCCTAAAGAACTATCTCCACCAGTCACCAGAACAACAAACAGATGGTGTGGGTCTGGGATTACATTAAGACAAAAATGCACCAGAGACAACTTGAATCCACAGAACTGTGGCACGTTCTTCCAGTTGCTCGATAACCTACCTGCAAATTACTGTGTGCAAGTGTACCCGAGAGAATTCACGCAGTTAAGATTTACTACTTTTTTTCAGTTTACTTCACTTTTGTTGTCATTATTTGAAAAATGCAAACAATTCATGGCACGTCAGTCAATTGTTGCTTTACTTTCAGGGCCATAAACTTTTTCACTGCATCTTTTGTCCAACAGGAAATACAAGACGGTGACGGCCAAAGGTTTTGTTAAACGTTTGAGTTATTGAAAGTTCCAAAATCCTTGAGATTGTTTTTCTCTTTGTCATAGAGACATGAAAATAGAGCAAAGTACATGAAAAACAAACAGTGCAGGTCCTTTTTTTCCTTCTTTCAACTTCCCAATATGTTAACCCTTTAATAAATATTGAAACATTTTAGTTAACTGATATAAAAATAACATTTAACTGGCGGAACATTTTGCACTTATATGTGAACATAAGCTTGTTTTGATAAAAAGAAAACTGAGATGACCAAAACTGAAACTAAGCTGAACTAAAAAGGTTTAAAATGCAATAAAAATAAGAACTATTGATAAACAGGTGTAATAACTCTGACTCACCTCGTGTCTACGTCTACCTTTTTGTACCTTCATGCAGCTATATTTGTTTTCTCTTTCTTCCGAGGCCAGAATTGAGATTCATTTTTGTAACGTTACGGCACCCACTTCTGCCTTAAATCTCAAATAGAAGCTGTCAGATTTCCCATTTCTGGTTCAGTTCTATTTATCACAGCTTTGGCCCATAATTTGCAGCTGCAACGGCCCAAATGCACCACAAGGCTCATTCAAATTTTATCAAATCTAATCTACAGTGGGCACCTCCTCCAAATGAGCATGTCTATTTTGGGTTATTTCTTACCGCAGTGCCCTCCACAATGTCCCTCCAGATGGGTTTGTCCCCGCTGCCCTCGCTGAAGTCCAGCAGGTTGTCCACCACTACCTGGCCTATCAGGTCGTGTCTGGAGAAGCGGTCAAAGTCGTACACGGAGAAATGCAGTTTCCTGGAATGTAGCTCATTCAGCGGCACGCCAAACTGAAATGTCTCATTGAACACTGGGTTTAAGGTCTTTCTGTGGACCTGAAAGACAGACAGAATTTACTGTTTAGATCATAGCTGGAAGAATACAGCGTAAATATCTTGTACTTGTATTGTAGTAATGAAATAATTAATAGGTAGGTAAAAAAATTTCAGGTGAGAATGGGGAACAAAGGGGTAGCAAGGGACTACTATATTTTACAGCCCACACACCCTGGACTTGCACTGTAATAAGAGTGCCACTGCCTATATTTTCATTGCTGTCTCCCAATAGTATGCTGTCAGTAAAAAGTAATGGCAATTCCATCAGCTAGAATTACTCAAAACACATTTAACCTGATGTTACCTTCTGTTGTTAAGGTATCAAATAAGTGCAAGGAATACTTATAAGCCAGTAGTTCCTGCCTAAGACAACTCTAGTATGACTTATTTTAGTCCCACATGCCTACAGAATTGTTGGCAACTTCTGGAGGCTGCTGAGTGAAAGCGGTTGCTAGGTGAGTAATTGACCTGTGCAGAAATGCAGACGATGGGCAACTGCAGCAACCTGGTTGCAACCAAAGGAATCACAAGTACTTTTTCAGTGCAGCATTATATACGTCTTTGCAAACGATTTCACCAAGTCACTGCCAGCAACCAGTTTCCAACTGGTCAGAGAATGCACGTTTCTCCTAGCAACCGACTGTTGCCAGGCAATTATCAAACAGTCTCCAGGCTTGTGCGACTCAGGCTATTGAACTGAGGGGCGATACCAGGACGAAATAAATAAAGACTATTTTAAATTAATAATTATGCAGAACTACTTTGATAGACTAGTAATAGGTGAACTGCACTGTAGCTACCAGAGATGGGCAGTAACGCGTTACTGTAATCCGATTACTTTTTTCAGGTAACGAGTAAAGTAAGGGATTACTATCGCTTTACTAAAAATGGTAATTAGATTACCGTTACTTTCCCGTAGGAACGCTGCGTTACTGCATTACTAAA